AAAGAAAGAAAGAAAGAAAGAAAGAAAGAAAGAAAGAAAGAAAGAAAGAAAGAAAGAAAGAAAGAAAGAAAGAGTTTAAGGGTTAAGGTTTACTTAAATGTTGGTGCGGAATTCCTTGCAACACCCAACAGTTGATGTCTGCTCAAGTTGACTTGGGAGGCGGGAGATTTGTGACCCTGAGGACCCAAAACATCTTGAAGATGGGACGTTTGGACAGTTCAAGCAGAGATGGATCTTACTGCCCAGCTGAGGGGACAATCAGATAAAAGTTAATTATTCAGCCAAACTGTCACTGTCGCTTGCTTGCCTGCCTTGCTACCTAAAACAAACATCTGCTCTCAGCAAAGCTCTATTGCCTTTGTTGTTCCTCAATAAATCTAGGGGTTTGAGTCAGTTCAGGGCTTCACTCCATTCCTGTGAAGACCCCTGGCCCCGGACAAAGATATTCTCCATCTCCTCTCTCATGTCTTTATTGGTCTCTCTAATAGGATTTGCTGGCCCTAACCCAGGAGTTGGCTTGTTGTAAAATGTTTTCAATAATCAGTTTATAACTGGTTAAATGAACAACTATTATTTTTAGGTTATAGGAGAGATAGAGATAGAAATGCAGATTTGGATATAGATATGGATATAGATATAGATATAGATATATCTGGGACAAGAAATGTGTATATATCTGAGGATGGAATATTCTGCAAATGTGAGCTTCTTCTAACATTAAGTTTTTAGAATTAAAATTACATAAGTTTAATGCATGCAAAATTACCAATAACTCTTCTCTTTTATACAATATATGTTTCATTTGGACCTTAAACATAAAGTTATCAAAATTTCTAGTATCCCTGCTCTTAATATTTGATACAATTTAATTCTGTCATTTAAAGCTTGATCTACATCTATTGGCTTTGACTGAACAAGATTTCATTACTGCATAAATGAGATACACTTATATATTGGATAATAAGGCTGTTTGTGGTCATTAGCAATGTTCCTAAGCTTGTCAGAGGTCTAAAGGTATCCTTTGACACTTGTCAATGCTGTTATGTTATGTAAGCCTGTTAAAGGAGTCTACATTTCCCCTTAAGAGTAAAAACTAAGCTGGGTGTGATGGCATATGCCTGTAACCCCAGCACTCAGGAGGCTGAGGCAGGAGGATTGCTGTGAGTTCAAGGCCATAGCAAGTCCCTGTCTCAAAAAACAAACAAAAAAGGTAAAAACTAAGCATATATATATATATATATATATATATATATATTTCCTATATAGCCATGATGCCAATTATTGCTAACTTCTTCTTGTATATTGAATACATTTATGTTCCCCACATGTATAAGCTTTCTAAAATGTGAAACTTAGGACACCTCACCATACTGGTGTCCTCAAACAAAATTGTTTGTAATGATAGACATTTGTGGGCTTATGTTTATGTGATTGTTCTGTAATTGCATTATGATAGATGTGCACAACTCTGTGGGTCCAGGCAGCGTCACGCTAATGACCACAGAGTGGGCACTTATCACCTGTAAAGTGCATCTGTAAACAAGTGTGTTCTACCTAGACACTTTATTTTAAAAGTGCATAGCAGCTAGGCATGGTGGCCCAGGCCTGTGATCCCAGCACTTGGGAGGCTGAGGCAGGAGAAGCACCATGAATTCAGGGGCAGCCTGGGCTACATGGTGAGTTCAAGTCCAGCCTGAACTGCATAGCAAGACCCTGTCTGCAAAACAAACAAACAAACAAACAAACAAAAAACCAACCAAAATAAAATCACCAAAAAAACCCAATAATAAAATAAAAATATATAGCAAATTTAGGTAAGAATGTATGTCATTTAACATTTTGTAACTGGATAACAGTAATCTATTGATGTTATTTCATGCTAAAATGTGAATTGAAATGTATTTTTAGAGACAATAAAAAGAACCTAATGATTCTGGTATAATGACACATCATGATTCTTATCCTAAAATGCTATGTTTGATTTTTTTATTTTGAATTTTCCTTGTAAACCTTTATAACTGTTATCTATTATTCTGCAGGAATATGACTCCTAAAAGACACTTAGAGGACAGACAGAATGGGACACTGACTCCTAATCCTAATGCTGACTATGATTCATTAAAGAGGCAGCTTTTCCCCAGCCACACTTTATATTTCCAAGTGCTCCAATATCTGAAAAAAAAAAAAAAAGCTCTAATTAAGATTAAGATCTACTGCTGTTACTTCAAGACTGGTGTCTTAGTTACTTGGGCCAAAATACCCGACACCCACAAGTTAAGGAGGAAAGGTTTATTTAGCTCACAGTTTGAAAAGGTTTCAGTCCATAATCGTCTAGCTCCAAGGCAGAGTGAAACAGTTCAGGGTGGGCAGAAGGTAGCAAAGCAAGCAAGGGAGGAGACAAACCTCTTTCTGTCCCTTATACTGCATCCAGGCTACTGGGATTAGGGCAGTGCCAAACTAGTCAGTGGACTGATTTAGTAATCATCCACCCTTAATCCTAGCACCCTTAATCCTAGCATTGCACCATGAGTCAATCACACACTCTGAATTCAGCCACCTCTCAAAAAGCCTCACCTATGACCACATGAGGCTTTGAGGGGACATCTAGACACAGCCATAACAACTGGTGTAACTGAGCTTATGAGTGTTCAGCGGAGGCCTGGAGACCCAAGCTAAGGAAGATAACCAGGCTAAGAGGATGGCCAGTATTTTGGTCCTTGACCTGGAAGGTTAGCCAGGACACACAGCTATGATGGGACCCCTTTGAAAGGGTCCTGCCATTCTGGTGGGTAACCCACCCTCTCATACAGGGGGATTGTTGGACCCCCGAGGACAGGAGTCAACCAGTGTACATTTCGCAAAAAAAAGGGTCACTAAAGAATGTTCCTCATGCTTCCAATGGCAGCCATGGGTCCCACCCTGGAAAATGACATGACTGGTAGAGTAAAGACTAGAGGAATTAAGAGGCTCTGCACTTCACCCCAGCAGTAACCCTGAGGAGCGTTAACTGACCTTGGTGATATATCTAGCAGGGAAGTATAACAAAAAATTAGAATGATAGTAATATTAAACAGAAAGCTAGGCTAGATATAAGAAGGGCTCCAAATATTGCACCAGCGCCCGTTGGTGTCTCCAGCTACGCCTATAACATCTATAGCTGTAAGAAGTCATGATTCCCAGGCCTACGAGCCCTTCCAAAAACATATCCTTCAGCCTCTCTTAGTGTATTGACATTACATTGTTTTAATATACTTTGAAGAACCCCCCAGGTAAAGGTTTAGCTTTTTGAACATGCCTATAAAATGAAAATGGCAATATAAATATTCTAGCTACTAAACTTTGTTACCTTTGTGGTATGAACTAACTTTCCATTATCTACCATGGATTTTATGTTTATGTTATCTGGAGCCTGTTACTACATGTTGTGGCTTGTGTCTAGACGTCCCGAAAAGCCTCATGTAGTCTTTTTTGGAGGTGGCTGAATCTGAAATTTGTGATGCTTGGATTAAGGGCATGCAATTACTAAACCATTACATGTGAGTGATTGGTTTGGCACTACCCTAATCCCAGTAGTCTGGATGGGACAAAGAGGGCAGAAAGACACCGTTAAGGTCCCTTCTTCCCTTTGCCACCTTGTGCATGCCATGTTATTTCTATTCTGTGATGCCTGTTTGCCATCCCTGCCTGGGAGCTAGCCGATTATGGACTGAAAACTCTACAGACTGTGAGCTAAATAAACCTTTCCCCCTTTGACTTTGGGTATCGGGTATTCTGTCTCAGCAATGAGAGAAAAATAACACACTCATAGGGTCTCCAGGTCTATGAAAGAGAAACCAGATCCAGATTCTCCGCCCTGTAGTAAAAACTTTAATGGCCCAATAATCACAGAAAAACAGATCTTTATTTAGGGTATTCCTTTGCTATTGTTATAATTAAAATAGAACATTCGAGTTCTTTGACAAAACAGGGAGGAGTCTGTATGTTGTTAAACCCCACATGCTGTGTTTGGGTAGACACCTCAAAACACATAGAGGATAATATTAAAGATAAAAGGCTTCTGCCAAATGCTACTTAATTTTTCCTGACTCCTACAACTTTTTGGGGCCACAATCCATCAATATTCTACTTTAAATTCCTGCCCCCTGCTTTTTTTTTTTGTACCAGGGATCGAACTCGGGACCTTGCACTTTCAAGACAGGTGCTGGAGCCACTGAGCTAAATCCCCACCCCTATTTGTTGAACATCGTTATACAATGAAGTTTAAAAGTCAATGACTTTCTAATATCCTTGCCCACTTTTCCAGACTATCGAAGATGATGCTTCATCAAACAAACAAACAAACAAAACCCTCATCTTCCTTTGCCTCTTTTAGGTCAGCCAGAGTGAGACTTCTGATCCCTGGCTGGGCAGAGCCAGCATGCCCTCAGCCCAAAGCAGGTATAAGAAGACAGACCTTTGGCCCCTCTTCATTCCTTAAGAGGGAGTGGCCAAAGTCTTGGGGGAGGGAGGGGGAGGGAGGACAGAAGAAATAAAGGCTAAGTATAAGGAGACAAGGAAAATTGTAATATAAAAAAATTATACCTCTAGGAACTCTGCAACTTCGGGGACACAGTGAAAGTTACCCAAGGCGATCTGTATCAACATTCTTGTGGTTACATTATGCTTCTTTCCTTCCAGAGCCATCACACCCAAAATTCCTTGAGGATACTGTAAGTTCATAAATTAGCTTAATTGAGGAAGTAAAGAGCAAAAATCTGATCTTAAGATAAAGAAACATATTTGAGAGAATTCCAAGAATGCTTAAATTATCCATCTAAAACAACACTTGGGCCTATACCTGTAAAATGGGTCATTATCTTTCTGGTAGGTGAGCTGTCTT